TTCTCACCCCAGACCACATCTGCCAAGGGTTGCAGGGCTGCTGCTACAGCCTGGTGGTGAGGACCATGCCTCAGCAGGCACCAAAATGCTCACCCTCCATCAGCAATAGGGAAGAAAGGGCAACAGTGCCTGAGCCAAGAGAGCTGATGGATAATGGGTCCATGGCAGGGATTGCAGGGAGGGCAAGCTGAGGGGGGATGGAGGGGTACACTGCTGAGCGGTACGGACAGTGCCCCTCACCGTGACATCCTGCCCTCCTGCAGCCCATGAAGGTTCACCAGGACTCCCTGGAGGAGCAGCAGGAGAAGGAGGCAGATGCTGATCCTGTCTACGAGGAGGTGGGCAACTTCCCCGAGCTGGCTACGCTGGAGCTGGGGCAGGGGCTGCTGGCAGACCTGTCTGCTGTGCCCCCCATGGACAGGTCCAAGAAGCCATCCCTGTTCCCTGAGCATCCCCCCGCCACAGCGCTGCGCTCCTCGCTGCCCGCCAGCCCGGCCCAGAGGGTGGCAGGTCCCTCTGTCACCAAAGCCCTGTCCCTGGAGAGGGGCTTGAACCTGGAGAGTGACAGAGCTCCAGCTCGGGGGCTCAGACCCACCAAAACAGCCTCTCTGGAGAGGAACATGGAGCCTTCCCTGGCACTGGGCAGGGACTGGGAGCAGGCAGCCACGCCAGGGAGCAGTCCCAGTGCAGACACCACCATGGAGATGCCCAGGAAGAGGAGCGTTCAGCCTCCTTCACCCATCAACGACAAACTCATCCAGGAGCTCAGCAGCGTCATCCTCAGGAAGAATGAGGGCCAGTCGCCGGGGCCAGGCCAGCCGGTGACGTGACTCACTGTGCCAAAGGGGTGGCCACCGACCTGGGGGTCAAGTAGTGCCCAGCAGCAGCGACAATGGGTGCCCCACACTCCTACAGCATGGAGCATGTACCCTCCTCCTCCTCACCTGGGAGTGGGGACCAGTGGGGACCTGGGGACTAGTGGGAACGAGAGGACTAGTGGGGACAAGGATGCTGAGCCATGGTACCCCCTCTTGGGAGGGCTGGGGATGCTGCCCCATGTGCTCTCCCTCCTGGGTGGCATATCTGTCACTGGGCCCAGCACCACAGGAAGCAAGTAAAAGGGAAAATAAAAGCAGAAACATGGAGCCTGCATGTTTCAGCAGCATCCACAGTGTCAGGCACAGGGCACATGGGGCCTGCTGGCATGGGGGAACACAGCATGATGTCCCCTCTCCAGCATTTGGCCCATGGGACACGTCAGGACACCCAAGCCACCCCCCAGTTCTTCTTGCCTCTAGCATGGCATATCTGTGGGGGGAGAAGGGTCATCAATGGGAGCAGGGCTGGCCATGTGTGCCTGGAGCACGGTCCTGGTGATGGAGGACAGCTCCTGCTCAGCCAGGGTATTTATACCTCTTCCTTCCAGCAGCAGGGAGAAATAAAGGTTTATTTGGACTCTAGAGGGTTTGGTCACTGCAGGAGGAGCAATGAGGGATGCTGGCATCCATTAGATGAGGAAATAAGGGTTCCAGGGCCAGGCATGCAGTTGAAGGGCCCATAGGACGGGGGCACCACCAGCAGAGGAGCTACAAAACTGGGATGAAGCCCAGATCCAGGGTGGGATCTTCTGCCCAAGGCTCATGCCAGCCTGGGACGGAGCAGCCCTTTGTGGTGGCACCACACTGCAGGATGTCCCCCTTTGGGGCAGGGGGACACAGCACAGTCCCCCAAGCCCTGCCTACAGCTGGCTCTGCTCATTGGACCGCAGGGGCAAGGCTGCCTTCTCCAAAGCCCTTCCCGAGGAGGTGTCGAGCCCCTTCAGGCAGCAGCTGCCTGCATCCCGCACCCAGACCCGGAAATCCCGGGAGACGTAGAAGTAGACGAAGGGATCGAAGCAGTTGTTGAAGGCGCTGAGCACCAGGGCCACAGTGTACCACATGTATGTGTCGTTGTGGCACCCCGTGGCCTTCAGCATATAGTGGATGAAGAGCAGCACATTGCTGGGGGTGAAGCAGAGGATGAAGACCAGGAGGACCACGGCCAGGACATGTACTACTTGCCTATAACGTCTCCCCTCGGCCAGCAGCCGCACGAGGATGCAGCTGTAGGAGATGGTCATGAGCACAAAGGGCAAGCCAAAGCCCAGCCCCACCAGGCAGAGGAAATAGTAGACGAGGAACATGTGCTTATCCTTTCCTAGGACATCGTGGCACGTTGTGATGTTCAGGCTCGAGATGTGACTTGTCTGGGGACACAAAAGCAGGGGGCTCATGCCCAGCCCCACCACCAGCCAGATGCCCACACAGACACCTGCTTTGAGCCACGTCTGACTGGAGCCCTTCCACAGGAATGGGTGCATAACAGAGATGTAGCGCTCCAGGCCAATGCAGGTGAGGAAGAGGATGGAGCTGTACATGTTCCCATAGAAGAAGGCCATCATAGTGCGGCACAGGTAGTCCCCAAAGAGCCAGTGGTTGCCCAGGAGGTGGTAGGAGATCTTGAAGGGAAGCAGGAGGACAAAGAGCAAGTCGGCGCTCGCCAGGTTGAGCAGGAAGAGGGTGCTGGAACATCTCCTGAAGTTGGTCACCAAGACCCAGCAGGCCAGAGCGTTGGCTGGCAGCCCCACGAGCAGGACCACAGAGTAGAGGGCAGGCAGGAGATGGGTGGTGAGGGTGCTGTTGAGGAAACCTTCCACAGAAGCACTGGGGCAAACGGCTTCTTCTTGGGCAGTGAGGGGGATCAAGGTTCGCCCTTTGCCACGCACTGTGGAGGGGACAAGGGTTAGGCTCAGCTCCCACTGCCCCTTCCCACTCAGGACCATGCAGGAGCTGTCATCAGCAACCGCAGGACCTGGCATTGCTCTTCTCCATGGCTCAGAACATGGGACCCCCATGAGCCCAGCACAACGGGTCCCCTGCAACCCAACAGGATCAAAAGGGCAGACAGGAAACCCACAGGGATAGGGTTGGGATAAGGCCTCCCATGCCAGCATAGGAGATGTTCTCCCAGCGGGGCTGCTTCCTCCTCCTCCTGGCCAGGCCCCCAATTTGAAGGCTGCCTCCTTGTTTTCCTGCAGTCTGAGGCTTTTCATTGCATGCTCAGAACAAAAGTGAAGAACAGGAAGGTCCAGGACACCAGGCAACTTCTGATCAAATCCCTCTTGTGGCTGGTTCAGAAAACATCCAGGCTTTAGTGTACTGCACGTCACCCCCAGCTCCAAAGGCTCCATCGATGGTCCCCAGAGGACCCTGGTTACATCCAATAGGTTTCCCACAACCTCTGCCACCTCTCGACATCCAGGGCACAGGGAAAATTCAGGTTACAAAAGCAGTAACCTGATTTCTGCCTCCAAGTGGACCAGGGATGGCCAGGTTTCAGGTCTTCACTTAGGTTTTGAGCATGGACACCCAGGGAAGGAAACAGAGTAGTGCCCCGAGCTTTCACCACGACACCCAGATATCCCCTCCAAGTATCACAGGACATGATGGGTGCCCATCCTGCCCCATCACCCTCTAGACACACCAAGGCACTTACTTGGGGAGACTTGGACAGCCCAGCCAAGGCAGGCGCAGCCGAGCAGGAGGGTGACACAGGCGACAGCAGAGCAGGGCGATGGCACCGGCCGGGACATCTCTGCGGGGTGGCCTCTGCACAAGCTGGGTCTGCAGGAGCACCACAGGCAGGGCTGACTCCTCCATGCGTCACCACGGCAGGACCGGCGCCGGCCCCGACACGCTGCCTCCTTCCTCTTTCACTCCACGTCGTGCCTGCGACCACATCCTCGTGCTCCAGATGACCATCAGCTGCCAGCACCGAGCAGCACGCAGGGGACACGCTCGAGGCTGGGGTGATTTCCAGCCTCCTGCCCGCAGTGACACACTGTGGGGAGGGGGAAGCAGGCGCAAGGCAGCCATCGAAAGGCAGTTGTGAACCGCAGCAGTCATGCGTGTCCCACGCGAAGGGCAGGAAGGAGGCAGCTGGGTTTCAGTCTGGTGACGTCTTCAGCAGCGTTCCTTGGGACAGGCATCGTATTCATCACCTTGGTCTGGCTGACAAGCCAGTGTCACCCTGTAGATGGGGCCATCCTGCATTGTCCCACTCTGCTGTCCCCTTTCTGCCACTGAAGTGGGTGCTGGGTGACCCCTGGTTCGTTTTCCCAGCTCCCTCCTGAAGCAGAGGGGCCATGGATGGGAGCAACAAACCCAGTGACACAGCCCCAGCCCAGCCTTGCGCATTGACATGCATCAGCCAGGATACGTGCAGCAGGCATCAAAAATGTGAAAGAGCAAAGGGAAAAAAGGGACAGTGGGGAAAGCCACGAGCTCTGCAGGACTCATAGGCAGAGAAAAAGCAGGATGGAAAGAGATGAGAGATGAAGGGGATGGAAGAGGGATGGGATAGGGACAGAGGGAACGGGAGGCAGTGGGGAAAGGCTGGCTGGGGATCCCCTCTGGGTTCTCGGTGCCCTCCACCAAATGCCTGTGCTCAGATCTGTCCCTGTGTCCCCATGGCACGACCCTGGCATCCAGGGGCTCAGCATCCTCCACCTGACGTGGAACCCCACATGTCCCTGTGCCTGGGGACTGAGGCCCCACTGCCCCACATGCTCCCACACTCCAGGACCAGTGCCCCACCACCCCACATCACCCCAGCGCACCAGGGGCCACCGTGTCCCAGGACCATTGCCCTGTGAGTCCTCACCTCAGCGCTCCCAGTGCCCCTGTGCCCCAGCACTTCCCACGTCCCCCTGCTCAAGGACATGGCCCCCACTGCTCCCTGCGTCCCCCCTGTCCCCATGCGTGTCCCACCGCTTCGGACCACGAGGTGGCGCTGGGACACGGCGTTGGGGGCGTGGCTTGCCAGACAAAGAGGCGTGTCATAGGGCGGTCCAGAAGTGGGCGGGGTTTACGGGGGGCGGGGCTGTGGGCGGGGCCTCGGGAGGGGAGGGTCCGGTCGCGGCAGTTCCGGGCTCAGCACGCGCGGGGCGGGCCCTGGGTACCGGGAGCGCGGCCGGGGCTGGGATCGGGACCGGGCACCGCAGCGATGCAGCCGCCGCCGCGCAAGGTGAGCGCGGGCTCAGAGCGGGGCACGGGGCGCTGGGGACCGAGTTCTCCCCGGGTGCCAGCGGGGCCGGGACCTGCAGAGCGGGAGTCGCCCCCGGCGGACCCTCACCGGCGCTGGGCCCTGGCTGCCGGCGCCTGCAGCGGCACGCGGTGTGGTGGGCAGTGGGGACTCGTGCCGGGGCAGCTCAAGCCGGCAGGCCCGGCCCGGCCGGGGTCGCAGCGTCGCCGGGGTCTGAGCGGTGCTGTCCCGCAGGTGAAGCTCACGCAGGAGGTGCGGGTCCACGTCCTGGAGCAGCTCTCGGGCCTGCAGGGCAAGCAGCAGCGGGATGCTGAGCTGCTGGAGGACATCAGGTAGGGCCCTCGCTGGTCTGTGTGTGTCCCCTCCAGAGCTGAGACCGGGCAGCTCATCCCACGTGTGAGGCGAGGGCCCAGCCCGCCGGGCACGGCTCACCTTGAGCCTGCCGCGCCGAGGTCGTGGGCTCCATCACCCGCCGGGGTAGCCAGATGGGGGCATTGCGCGGTGGGGTGGTGGCAGGGGGGTGATGGCAGGGGTGGCACGTCCCTACCCTCCTGTGTGGGTCCTCACCAGCCCTCTGTGCCCGCTCCCCACAGGTCCTACAGCAAGCAGAGGGCTGCCATCGACAGGGAATACGGGCAGGTGAGGCGATGCCACCAGTTCAGGAACCGATGGGCTGGGGGGACATGAGACCAGGCTCCATCCTCCCTGTGTGGGGGGCTGTGGAGCAGAGCACAGCATCGCTAAGTGATGGGCAGAGTTGGAAATTATCCAGCCAACAGGGCTTGGCTGGTCCGTGTCAGCCATGGAGGGCTGTGGTGATGGGTGAAGCATATTCCCTGCTGGAGAGGGGGGTGCTGACACACTGACCACCTCAGGGCACCCACTGGGATGCTTTGCTGAGCACAGCATGCCTGAGCCTCACGTGTTTGGGGGGCCTGGAGGGAAAATCTTGCAGTGGGAGGAAGCTACTTGGCTCTGCTGTCTGCTGGGTCATCGCAGGGCTCTGCTGTTAAATGTCAGAGCCTTGGTTTGCTCTGTAAGATGTCCTCACAGCATCCCTTGGGCACAGCCTGCAGCGGAGTTGCATCCCCCCTCCCTGCACCTGGGCTCCGTGCCATCCTGCTCCCTCTCTGCTCTCCAATCTGGGGGGGACCATGCCCTCAAGGCTGGGGTCTTGCTTTGCTGGGGGCTCCTCTGCCCCACCTCTGCAGCCAGTGTCCCTCACTGGTGTCCCTTTGCCAGTCTTCTTTCCTAAAAGCCACAGTAAGGGGGTCATCTTATAGTAGTGGCTGCTTCCCAAAAAGCTTTTCCTGCAGGAAGCATGATGGGATCCCTGCTGACATCCAGCTGCTGTGAGATGTGTGCCCTCCCTGCGCTGATACCCATGGGGTGAACAGATGATGTGGGGGACCCCAGTTTCAGCCCCAGAGCGGGATGGTGGGTTGCTGGAGTGCTCAGCAGGGCTGGGGAGTGCTGGTGATGCTGGGTCTGTCCACAGGCACTGCAGAGGCTGGCAAGCCAGTTCGTGAAGAGAGACTGGCAGCGGGGCCGCGGCGAGGCCGGCGACTCAAGGTGGGAACAAGGGGCTGGGGCTGGGGCTGGCTGCGCACATCCATGGCCCTCCCAGCTGGGAGATGCCTAATGCCAACCAGGATTTCATCATCCCGGGGATGGGATGTAATGATGTACTGGGGACTGGGGACTCTGGCAGGGAGGCTGGAGGGAGCCCTGCCTTGTCCTAACCCTCATACCCTGCACAGGAGCGTGGTCGCTGTCTGGAGAGGTGTCATCGAGGGCACCGCGCATGCCGGGCAGGTCCGCGTCACCGCCTCGGAGAGCTACCGTGCCCTCGCCGCAGAGGCCGCCCGCACCGCCCGGCTCTCCAAGGAGAGGCTGCTCAAGAAGGTACCAGGATGAGGACATGTTCCCTGTGCCTGGGCAGTGGGGACAGCTCCTTGTGTCCCACTGCTGGTGCTCCCCACAGGGCATTGAGCGGCTGCAGAAGGCACAGGCAGAGCTCCTGGAGACGGTGAAGGAGCTGGACAAGGCAAAGAAGCAGTTCACCCACCTCCAGCGGAGCAATGAGGTGGCCAAGGACAAGGCGGCTGATGTGGAGGCTCGGTGAGCAGAGGGGATGGTGGGAGAGGGCTGCCATGGCTGCAGGGTGGGCTCACATCTCCTCTCCTACCCTCCCTAGGCTCCGGAAGAGCGACCGGAGGATATTTCACACCAAGGCCAGCCTGCAAAAGCTCAGTGCCAAGGTCAGCAGCACCACGTATCCAAACAGCAGGGTGCAGGGGGATGGGGTGGTAGCCCCCAGCCCATCACCGTCCCCTGCTCTCCCCATCCCTGCAGTTCTCTGCACGGCTGGCCGAGCACTCGAGGCAGCTCGCAGGGGTGCACAACGAGTACAGCTTTGCCCTGGTGTCTGCTACTGCCCACCTGGAGCACTACTGGCGTGTGGAGCTGCCGGCTGCCATGCAGGTAGGAGCTGCCTGGACCATCCAAGTCCCCTCCCGAGCTTCCTACAAGAAGCATCTCCCCAGTGCCGCTGCAAGGGGATGCAGCAGAGAAGGTCCTGGCGGTGCAGAGTCAGAGGGCAGGGATGCTCCCCAGGGGGTGCAGGTAGTGCTGGGGGGATGTGGGCAGTGCTATGGGTGGTTCCCACCCGCTTTCCTGCAGGCACTGGACGGTGACCTCTACGAGAGGCTGCGGGAGCACTTGTCAGCAGCCAGCCGGACGGAGGTGGAGACCTGCCGGGCCACACGAGACTGCTTCCAGGGCGTTGCGGAGGCATCTGCACGGGTAACAGTCCCCCCTCCAGGAGCTGGGTAAGGCAGGAGGGGATGGACGAGCCCCCAAGCCTCACACTGCTCCACTGCTGCAGGTGTGCCGGGAGCAGGACCTCATCCTCTTCCTGCAGGAGCATCCCTCCTTCACCCTGGCCCCCGAGCAGCGCCTCCAGCTCACTGGGCTAGAGGAGGTAGGTGGTGGGTGATGGGATATCACAGCAAGGTTGGGGGGCTGCATAGCCAGCCCCTTCTCAGCCACCCTGTCCTCACCCAGGTATGCCTGCTGCCACCTGGGGATGACGGGGCCAGCCTGGAGAAGGAGGCACGGCGCTGGGCTACACGGGTGGCCCGGGACCGCAAAAACAAGGTGCACAGTGAGGAGGTGGGTGCTGTCCTTCCCCACGGAGCACAGGGAGTTCAGTGAGGGGCTTTCCTTGTTTTCTCCCCTGCTCCCACTTTCCCATTGACCTGTGGTGCCCACTTAGGTGCTGCAGCGGCTGGAGGCCAGGCGGCAGCAGGTCACAGAGGTAGAAGCAGCTGCCGTGGAGCGGCAGATGGAAGAAGTGAGGGAGAGCATCCGGAAGGCAGAGGTGGGTCCCTCTGTCAAGGATGCTCAGGGTGGGTTCCAGGTCTGTCACCCACAGGGTGGCGGATGCAGGGATGGGAGCTGTGGTGGGTGCAGGGATGGGAGGTGTGGATGCAGGGATGGGAGGTGTGGTGTCTGGGGATGCTCTGCCACTATGACAATCATGCTGGGGACAAGGGGTGATGGGGCTTGCTGGGCTGTCCCTGCACCCCATAGGTGTCCCCATAGACCTGGACAATGTGTGTGCACAGGTGAGCCGAGTGAAGGCAGAGGCACGGCTGGCGCTGCTGCGGGCAGCAGGGCTGGATGTGGACACTTGGCTGGCAGGGGCCATGGGGGGGGCAGGAGAAGAGGCTCCCACAGGCCTGGATCCAGCTGAGTTCGATGACTACGAGGACAGTGACGAGCCAGATGAGGACGATGAGCCTGGCCCTGCTGCCCGCACCTATCCCTACACCTGTCGGGTGATCTTTGGGTACCAGGTACAACCGTGGGTGTCTATCCTTTACCCTGCCTGCCCGGGGCCAGCACCCTCAGCATCCCTGCCGCTTTGTTGCCTGTACCCTGCAGGGCTGCCAGGCAGACGAGCTGTCCATCACCCAGGGAGAGGAGCTGGAGATCATCGAGGATGGGGACGCAGAGGAGTGGGTGAAGGTGGGAATGAGATGAGTCCCTCTACCATGCTGGGGGGGGGACACATTATGGAGGTCCCTGGTGCTGTCCCCTCTCCGGGGGCTGGGATGGTTATATGGCTTCTGTCCCCTCAGGCTCGAAACAAGGCCGGCCAGGTTGGCTACGTCCCTGAAAAGTACCTACTGTCCCTGGGGGGTGAGCCAGGGGCCGGGGCTGGTCCTCCGGGACCTTCTGCATTGCACCGTCAGCTCTCCAGCATCATGGCTGCAGAACTGGTGCTGGAGCCTGGAGGTGGGTGCTGGAGCATTCCCCCAGCCCTGGGGATGGGGACAGGTCACCCAGAGTGTGCCGAGCCCCTGCCCCATCCTCCCCACAGCCTGGCTCGTGCGAGCTCTGTATGACTATGAGGGGCAGAGCCCTGAGGAGCTGAGCTTCCCCGAGGGGGCCATCATCCGGGTGCTGCCCCGCACTGCCGGCGAGGTGGACGATGGCTTCTGGACGGGTGACTTTGATGGCCGCATTGGTGTCTTCCCCTCGCTGGTGGTGGAGGAGCTCACCGGGGCGCGGGGGCCAACTGGGCAGGTCTGTGGTCCAGAGCCCTTGTGTCCCCTTGGTGTGGGGCAGCCCCAGTCTTGTGCAGTGGCTGCTGGGAGTTAGACCCCCCCCTTCCCACTGTTCCCATCCCTCTTGGCTCTGTCTTCCCAGGAGCTGCCGTCGCCATCCCCACCGCCCTTCTCCCCTCCTGGCCTCGCACCCGGGGCCAGCCTGGTCCCCAACCCCTCTCCTGAAGCATCATCGCTGGGAGGTGAGTGCTGGGGGTCTGGGAAGGAGCCAGGAGCAGGCAGAGAGCTGGGCTGAGCTGCTGCACACTTCCAGGTTGCCGGCAGGACGGCGCGGGCAGCGGGCAGAGCTCTCCGGACCTGGCAGCCACCCGCCTCCGGCCAGTAAGCCCCACCACAGCGATGCTGTGACCCCAAACCTGCCCCCAGCCCTCCTGTAACAGGGGACAGCACCATCTGTGTGCTTTGGGGGGGTCTGAAGGGTGATGGGTGGCCTTGGTACCGCTTCCCTCCTCTCTCCACAGCTCCGAGCACCACCACCACCACCAGGCAGAGCCCCAGAGCCTGACCTCGAGCTACCCTTCAGCTGACCCTGCAAGGTCCCACCTCCCTCCCTGCTCCTCAACTCACTTCACCCCGGCGAGCCCCCATGGGCTGCTGTCCTGCAGCAGGGGCTTGCGCCACCTCCTACCCTGAGCTGGTCTCTCCACGGGCCGCATCCTGCCCAGCACCGCTTGCAGAGTGGTCCTGCATCCCTTTACAGCACGTGGCATCCTCACAGCCCCTCTATAGGCGTGTTCAGTGCTAAGGCTGGGCCCCACCTCACCCACCTCTTGCCTCTGCCCTTTCCATCACCCATGCAGCCCTAGTGCAGCCCTGGTTCCTGGGGGTGCTGAGCCCTGGGGTCATCTCCCCACAGGCAGGAGTGGGCACTGGGGGCTGTGCCCCAATAAAGCCAGTTAAGCCTCTGCCGAGGGATTCAGCAGCTTTAATGGTTTTAGCTTGTCTATGTACAGTGCGGTTACACACCAAAGCTCGCTGCGGGCACGGGGGCTGCCCGCTGGCCTGGCTGCAATCCTGCGCCCCCCGGGCCAGGCTCCAGCCCTTTCTGTGCTGGGAATGGGGCTGGAAGCTCCTCTCTCCGCCTCATCCCGCAGGGACCTGGCCGGGTCCCTTGCCGGTGCAGGATGTGTGCCTGTGCCCGCTCTGCGTGGCCAAGGTGCCCGGGGGGGCTGTGCTCTGTGGTGAACGTGCTGAGTGGGTTGGGGGGTGCTGTCCCACACCCTGGGGGAGCTCAAGCTGCTGCCTCCATCCCTGCCCCTCTCTGCAGCCCCTCGGGTCCATCCTTCCCCTGGCACTGGGTGGGCAGTGGGGACCGGGTCCTGTCCTGCCCCTGCCAGGCCGGGGGGTGTCTCCGGGGCAGGTGCAGTGGGTGGGAGTCGGGTACCTATTGCCAATGGGATGAGGTCTGGCGCCGAGTGCGTTGTCTGTAACGTCGGCGTGTCGCTCCGGCCATGCCAAGCGCGTAGCTGCCAACCCGGGGCCGGGGCCGGCTGCCCCACGGGTACCCCATGGCAGAGCCCCCAGCCTGGCGGGGGTCAGGGGCTGAGCACCTCCTGTCCGCGCTCCAGCCAGGAGCGGAGAGGAGCTGTAGGGAGAGAGGCAAGAGGATAGGGATTGTCCCTGTGGCCACAGCATCCCCCATCAGCCACAGGCTGTCCTGGCCCTGTGTCTGCCCAGAGCCAGCATCATTGCCTGGGGCTGGGCACACTGATAACAGGACCTGCCTGTGCAGGACCCAGGGCACTGGGAACCAACCCTCCTGGAGCAGGGGTTCATCCTCTCTCCATCACCAGGCCATGACCCACTAGAGCAGGGTCACTGCCGCTTCCCACCCCAGCCATCACCCAGGGACTGGGGACAAGCACTCACGTCACACGGTTGCTCCTCGGTCCTGCACCACAGCACTGGGCTCCTGTGGGATAGAGGAGGGATGTGGATGTCAGTGCTCCTGTGGGAGCAGGGTGCTGGGGTAGGGGTTCTGGTCTCCATTGGCCACAGCAGTGATCCATGGGCCAGTGAGCAGAACCCTGCTGAGGCTCCAGGAGCTGACAACAGCACAAACACCATCTTGCTGCCTTTCTCCATCACCTGCAGGACACATTGAGCAGCACCTAACAACCCTCATGGTGGCCCTGGCTGGGACCTAAGGATGAGGGAGCACCAGAGTGGTGTCAGGGCTTGCTGACAGACGTTCTAGTGGGGTCCCATTACTGTTCTCCTGGGACTCCATGTCCTGGAGCTCACCAAAGCAACAGCCCAAAGCCTGGTGCAGGGTCCAAGGCAAGAGCCTGGCACCGCAGAGGAGAAAGAGGAGAAAAAAGTCACCATGTCCCTGGGCTTGCCCTGCATGTAACTGCTTCCCCAGTGATCAGAGGGGCCACAGCTATTGCCCAAGGCACAGAGGGTCATGGGAGGAAGGAGGACCTGCCACTACCTCTCCAGGTCTCTGGAAAAGGGCTGCAGCCCATCGGCTCTGTCCTGTGTGGATGCCTTGTGTTGCCCTTCATGAAACAGTTGGAACCTTCCAGCCTGTCCCCCAGAAAGCAAAGAGGACCAATAAACGCAGTGAGTTCCTGCCTTTTCCTTAGCCTGCCTTCAGCCAGGCACCTTTCCCTGGCTCTTCAATGTTGATGCAGTCAGCTCCATCCCATCTCCCTGCCAAGGGCTACAAGCATGGTCCATTCCTGGCCCATGGAGCTCCAGCACAGCCAGCCCCAGGGAATGGCTCTGGCTCTTTATCCAGATGGTTTGCTTCCCTTTTCTTCCAAGGGCTTTGCCACACGTGTCCAGTGCTGGTTTGGTGGGATGAGCCAAGGCCAGCTCCTGGGGCTGCTGATGCAGGTGGGGTGATGTTGCATGAGCTGCCTTCCCCAGCTCCCTTCAGAAAAGCCTTTCTCCATAGCCACAGGTGAGTGAATGGGCACATTGGGTGGCTGCTGCCACCACCAACAGCCTCATTTGCTCATTGATGACAGCCACTGACAGGGAGTAAATCCCCTAAAGTGGGAGCTATTGATGGCCAAGCAAATGGTGTCCTCGCCAGTGCTCTCTGGCACCTCCAGCAGGGTGGCTGGGTGGGATGGTTGGGAGATATGTGGGTGCTGGGAGCTCCAGCTATGGTGGCCTCCTGTCTGAGCACAGCCAGCACCAGGCCCCCTGGAGCAGGGAAGAACAACCAAGAACTGACCGGTTGCTTTTGCCATCTCCTAGACTTCAAGGCAAGAAAGGCTCCTGATGCTATCTGTCCCTGCCTGGACATTGTGCAGGTGCCATGTTGAACACTGTGGTGAGGCTACAGTTTCGGAGGGACCAAGCTATGTGCAGTGATAGAGCTCCCGCAGGTCAAGCCACCCCAACTACAAAACTCATCCCTTCCCCTAGGGGCAGCTGGCAGCAGGTCTGCAGCATCTCCCATGCAAGCCAACCAGTGACCTGCCTTTGCCGCAGCAGTGCAGGTACTGGTGGGATGGGGACTGTCACAGTGACTGCATCCCCCAGACATTAGAAACAGATGGAATCAAGAAAGATGAGCAGAAACAGGGTGGCAGGCCAGGTCCCATGACACAGCTCACACCACACTGGGGCTGGTTGATGTCAGCAGCACTTGGGATGCTGAGCCACAACCCAAACCCCCCAGCCCAGAGGACCCCACAGGGACAAGGAAGAGGAGGAACCCACCTTCTGCCCCACATCCCCCACTGCGGGCTGTTTCCTGCTGCTGTCATCTCTTCCCAAGTCATCAACCTGCTCATGCAGACTCAGGCTCCCGTGAATATCCGACACTTCATCTGCCGACCCCAGTCCGGTCTCCTCCAGGCAGATGCTGGCTCCTTCCTGCACCAGCGCTCCCGGGATGCTGGGACTCGACCCTCCGAGCATCCGCTGGCTCAGGAGCTTCCTCTGGCGACTGGTGCTGCCGGGAGCAGTGCCAGCATCCTGCAGGGATCCCGCCGTGCCGGAGCGCTTGCCCGCCCGCCGGCTGTCGCGAGGGCCGGAGCTGGCTGGTGTGTCTGGGGCCGGGGTGGTGGAGCAGCTCTGCCCCCCGCTTTTGCCACCCTGGACACCCTTCTGGACGTCTCCGTTCTGCAGGCCACCCGTGGGGACAGTCCCATTGCGCGCCGGCTCCCGCTGGAGCCGCTCGCTGCTGTGCTCCATCTCCTCCGTGCTCAGCTCCCGGCTGCCGTCGGGCAGGGGCCCATCCTGCTGCTCATGGAAAGTGGGTTTCTTCCCGATGTGTGTGACACGAAACCTGGAATTGGGGCAGGATGGATCAAAATCCTTTCCCTTCTTTTCCCCAGCTGTACTCCCAGCTTGCCTGCACCTCCAGCCTTGGATCTCCTCTCTTTGTCATCAACTGGTGATGATCTCCAACCTTCCAGACCCACTCAACACCACTGGCCCCCACTCTAGCCATGCCCCCACTGACTTAATCCCATTTCCCCCTTTATTTTTGGCAGAACAAATACAGAAAGATGAAAAAGGTCTATCCAGATGTCGTCTGGTGCAGGCACTGCCAGCCTGTTCTCCCTGTAAGATGGGTCACAGCTCTTGGAAATGCTCCAAGATGCAACCTGGATGAGCAGGAGCTTGCACAGAAACTCAGGTGTTGATTCAGAAGGTGAAATACAAACCTGCTAAGCCTGGTAAGGAGGGGATGGCCATGAAGAGCTGCATGGAAGTTGGTCTGACACCCTCAAAGGATTAGTTTATAATGAGGTGATGCAGTATTGCACGTGGGGAGGAGAAGTTGGGGATCTACCATAACTTTGGGATTTGTGAGGCATAATGCATAGGCAAAGCCTAAGTCTGAATTGCAAGCAAGCTGATTGTGACCAACACTGTGATTCCTCTTTGGAGGCAAGGCAAGCGACTGCTGGACCAGCAGATGGGAAGGCTCTTCCATGTGAGCTGGTGTCCACCAGCCAAGGAAGACTGATCCCACCACAGAGATCTCTCGCAGTCCATGACTCACCCAGCAGCTCTGTGCTTAAGCCACACATGGAGAAGCTGCAGATGGCTCTGGCTGTGTGGAAGCTCAGCTGCGAGCCAGCACTGGGGCAAAACACAACTTCAGCAGCAAAATTCAGCTGGGGCTGAAAGAACAGGGCCCAAAAGTCAAGGACATGGCAGTACAGCCACTCGGAAGGAAGGAGCTGAGAAGGCCCAAGAGATAAGAAGAGATGCCAGATGAGATGCCAGAGGTAAAGGAGATGACTGCCAGGCTGAGGACCCAGTGGCAGTCTGTGGGCAGCACAGACCCCTCTGCAGATTGCTCTTCATTGGAAGGGTCAGGAAGAGAAATGCTCCAGCTCCAGACGAGGTACTCACAGGACTGCTCTGGTCAGGCCAAGCAGCAGCAAATGTGACCTTTCAGGTCTATCCAGATAATTGGAGATAAGGCACCAAGCACTGCTATTCGGGAAGACCAGAGAATGTTCCAGACCTGAAGAGGGCCAGGGAGCAGGCACAAGCGACAAGACCATTGAGCAATGCCAGCCTGGAGGAGCCAGAAACAGGTTCAAAGGAACAGGCAGGGTTCGAACTGGAGGGGGCACAAGAGGTAACGTAGCCAGCTTCTGTGTGGTGAGGGGAAAGGCAGGAGAGCGCTGTCTCCTCGTCAGCATCACTGGGGCATTTGACTCAGTAGGATGGGACACTGTGGCTGACTGGGCTAAGGATGGAGGGTCAGACCCTCCAGTGGACAAACTGCCACTGACAACTGGCTTCGAGAAAGCCCTGAGATAAATGTAAGTCAATAATGTAAGAGTGCAGATCATATAACGCTGATTGCCTCAGAATTACGGAGTCATTTAGGAGCAAAGAGCCCTCAGGAGGTCTCCAGTCCAACCCTCTGCTCGGAACCAGGCCACCTCCCACCCTCAGGCAGGTTGCCCAAGGCCCAGTCCAGTCTCCAAGGCTGGAGACCCCTCTGCTCCTCTGGGCCCTGCCACAGGGCTGCACCATTCTCATAGTGAAAGGGTTTTTTCCTTACGGATTTTCTGGATTTCTCCTGCTGCAGCTTTTGGCCACTGCCTCTTCCCTGTGCATCCCTGGGAGGAGTCAAGCTCCACCTCCATTTAAACTCCCCCATCCCTTTGCGTAGTTTTAGAGAGCAATTAGATCCCCCTCTATTACTTCTTCAGGCTAAATAAACACGATTCCCTCAGCAGCACCTCACATGCCACATGCTTCAGCCCCTGGTGATCTTGTGGACTTTCGCTATCTTCCTTCCTTTCCACTCCACTAGGGATGAGGCTGTGCCTACCAGCTGCCAACCAGACTCAGTCTATGAGCTGTAGGTAACAGGGAAGGGTGCTGGACTCTCAACCACCATGTCCAAGACAAAAGCAACAGCAAGAAAAACAAAACTTGAGGATTGCAACAGAAGAGGTGGGTTAAAGGAGCTTTTGTCTGTAGCATCAGTCATGAGTCAAAGCACTTTATGCAATCAAGATATTCCTAGTAAATAAGGTACAGCAAGGGCAGTCCCAGAAGAGTCATCCAAGATCTGGAAGAGCAAAGGGGCCAGTTTGGAAATAAGAACCAGAATCTGGAGGTAGTTTTGTATCTCATGGTCTCACAGGACCCTTGGCGCTTGGACCTCATAGCAAGGAGATCCGGGAAGTGGAAACTTCAAATACGATCTTGGAGAGATGCTATGACTGCACCATGGAGAAGGCTGGTATGACACAGGATATTAGCAAGGTTGAAGAGAGAAAAAACATTTGCAGGAAGGTGCCTGTTGGAAAGGAAACCATCTTCTCTGGCACTCAGAGGTCACTGAGAGATTGACAAGAGCATGGCTAAAGGACACAGAGAAGTAGATGGAGCTGGGTACTAGCCAGGGAATGAGTAGCCATGAGTATGCAATTGTGCAGAGATCTGGCCACCAACCACCACAACCGAGGACACCTGACAGCTACAGGCGAAGAGGAAGTCAGAAGCCATCAGCCACCATAAAGTGAGATCGTAGCTGGAGTTCAGCATGGGGAGGTTCAGCATGTGTCTCCCCCAGCTCCCCATAAAGCCCCCAGTTCACCTGCCTACTGAAACTCCTAGCTGTGATGGTGGAAAACCCCAAAGCTCACCCCCGTGATGCCCACTCTGGCTCAACATCACCATGAACAACCGTCTGTCTGGACCACAATGCGCAGCTTCAGCAGGTCTTACGCTCTGATGAAGACCCACTGTAGGATCTGAGCACAGCAGAGCTCTGTGTCTCACCAAGGTGTCCATCCAGGGACCAGCAGTTGCTCATCACCCTGCTCTGGTCAGCACAGCAGTGAGGAGCTGAGCCCTGGAGGACTTAGCTGGGGAATGGGGTAACCTGGGCAATGCTGCAGATGGTACTAAAGGTTATGGATTACACAGAGACCACAGGAAGTCCCTTGAGGTGAAACCAGTTGGGGACTGGAAAAGTATCTGTGGCAAGTATGAGGTACACTCCCCTGTTATGTTCCTGCCATGTCAATTACAGTAGTCATTTGACAGAGACCTGGAGGAGCACAGCCACCCTTTCATTCTGATGGTGGCTGGTAACTTGGACCTGGGTCCTGCTGTCTCCTCTCCTTCCTGAGATCCCTAAAACTTGGGGTCACTGCTGCTGTTGGGCAGCTAGAGTCCTGCTTGCAAATAGCTGGGACAGCAGGCTTTGAAAGGACATGGATCTGGGGCTCTGCCCAGCACTGAGTCAGCAGAACAACACAGGCTTGAGTCACCTTCCTCAAGGAGAAGGAGGGAAGCCACCACATGAGCATCATGGCCTGCCACATACCACAGGCATTTCCAGGTCCAAGAGGCACCTGGGTCCTCAGGACTGCAAGTAGGGAAGGGGAAAGGATCAAGGGGACTGAGAAGACTCTACATGATGCTCTACATGAGACGGGCTGTGTCTGGCAAGTGTCACTGAAGTACCTGCCCACTGAGAAGACGGTGGTCTCTCCAGGATGCATCTTGCCTTTGCCATCCTTGGACCGTCCTTGTCGATGCAGCGGGTGCCTCTTCCTCTTGCTGCAGTGGATGCAGGGGGCCTGCGTGGAGCCCAGATGCACTGTGTGGTGATGTGGTGGGCCCCCGTCCTGGCTGTTACGGTGGGGACAGAGGCTGCAAATAGAAGGATGTGACAGGTCATGTTATCTGGATACTTCCCAACCATGGAGCAGCCTCACTGCAGCAAGCCTTGAGAAGCAGCAGCTCTGAAGGGGACCTCCTGTGGGGAGAGGAATGAAGAAGAGCTAATCCCCTTGACAGTGGGGTAAAGCAACCCTTGGGAGAGCAGGACTTATTGGGAAGATGCTTTGTAACACCCTGGAAAGGGGCTGGCTGCAGCCTCTAAACCAAGGTGATACCCAAAGGCTGCTCCTCCCTTACTTCCCACGAGCTGGTATAGGCTTTCCTCACCTGGGCACTGGCACTGGGATGTCCCCTTCATTGTCCCCCAGCATCTCCTTGAGGGCTTCCGCATTTGCTGAAGAGAGAGGAAGAAGGGAATGCATCAGCTGAAGCGGTCAGCACATCTCCAGGCCAGCCCTAGGAAGTGCTCACCTTCATTTTGTATGATGCACCTCACAATCTTCTCCACAGTGTCCTCATTCAGCTCCTCCTCTTCATCTGGAAAGAGAAAACGTGGCACTGAGGGCTGGGATTTGGGCACCAGTCCCTCCCCAGAGCAGCCATGTCAACAGAGAGGTTGGAGAAGCCTCGTGTCCCCATCAAGCTGGGAAACCCATGGGGAGCAGCAGATCCCTCACCCTGGAAAAGAAATGGCTAAACCAGGAGCCATGTGTGTGTGGAGACACATACAGGGGTCGTGTTGCACCTTCAGAACTGCGGGCATCACGAGAAATGAGTGGGGAGAAGGTTCAAAACAAATTAAGAGTCCAGCCCTGGAGCCCCTGGCTGTAGGATGCTGCTGGTGCTGAGTGTCCAAGGGTAAACAGGACAAGTTCACAGTAAAGAAACCTACTGGGGCCTGTTAAATACGGAGAAGCCATCTCTGATGGAGCAAACCAGGAGCTGCACACTTTTAGAAGCCTAACAGACTGTTCTGGGGAAGCTTGGCTTAGTGTCTGCTCCATTGTGGTATTCAACCCCAGCATCCTTAACCTGCTTCTGGCCACTGTCAGAGGCAGGACGCTTGGCTGAGTGGACCAGCCCAGTTCACAGCGTTACATGTTCCAGTGAGCAGATCAGAGCCATGGTCTGGAGGGCAGCTGCCTCAAAGAGCATGGTCAAGGGCTACCACCGTAATCCTGGGAGCCCATGGAGATGTTTCCCTTGGCTGCGGCATATCCAGTGGGCAAAGCCAATCCTGGAAAGTTCAGACACCGTCTCCATATGCAGCCAAGTCAATTAAGCCAAAGGAGTGTATCCAAGGACACTGGTGAGCTGGAGAAGCCACGTTACCTTCCTGTGCATGACAGAAGTGGTAACAGGAGGTGCTGATCCCCCCAAGCACTGGCGATGGCACAGGGAAGGTGGAGGAGGCATGCAGCACCATTTGACCTGCAGAAGCAGCCAGAGGAACGTGTCTTCTCCATTTCAGCAGAGGTTCATGAAACCATTAAAAGTCAGATCTTGCTTGGACCAAGCTCTAGCTTGAACCCACACTTGATGCTGCAGTGACTTCCCAGTCTAACTACCCAAGAGTGACTTACAGTGAAGTGATGGAGAAAAACCCTAAAAGTCACCTTCCAGCTCCAGCCTTCATGAGCACAGCAGGGACTCGAAGAAGACATGAGTGATAGCAAACACCAGGCTGCCTCCATGCTGGACCTCCTAATGCCAAAGGGGCAGAGGGACAGCTGGCTGAGGGATACTTTCTTTCTAGGGGACATGGGACACAATTTAGGTGCTGGGGATTCAGCAGGACCTGGCTGTTCATCAGCATTATCTTTTGGTGATTATGTTGCTTTGGGAAGAGCCACATGCTGGTTCCCACCTCCTTGACACCACCAGACTTTCCAGCCTGTGGAGCCAGCAGTTCACAGGGCTCTCCAGACAACAACACTCCCAATCCCCAGGGAACACCGCACTGCCCACCCCTTTTTCCTAGCCCAGCAGCACGTGATGGGTAATCCTCCCATCCCCAGCCCACATCACAGGAGTGTGTTTAAAGGAGCATCAATCCACACCAAGCAAAAGATAACATCGGATCCCCACTGAGCCCCCGAGCCCCAGTACTCACTGGCCTGGAGCTCCGCCAGCACGTCTTTATTATCTGGGTCGAGCTCGTCCCGGAAAGTCCGGCACCGGTAACCCTTCTTCTTCAGGACATGGCAGATCAGGAAACCCACCAGCCCCATGATGAAGAAGACAAGGACGAGGAGGAAGACCATAGACAGGCTGTGCTGGGGGTCTGTCTCCCCATCGTCGGTGCTGTGCTGGTCTGACATGCGGATCTAGGAGAAGGCGGAAGGCAGTTCAAAGAACACAGTGCTCATCCCCCATGCCCATCCTCTCCCTCCTCTTCCTCCTGTCCACCTTCAGCAAGAGCCACAGAGGTGGCTCCGCGCAGTCTCCCAAGGACACTGCTGCCCCACACGCACCCGGCAAGAAGCATCCCAAGGGCAGCGGTGGCAGCATCCCCGCAGGCCTGCCCGGCCCCCGGCTGCGGCGCTTCCCCATCCCTTGCAAGCAGCTTCCCAAGGGCATCTGTTCCCCGGCCTCCTCCGGGCTCTGCGGCGAGCGGCGTCACCCCGCTCGCCCTTGCAGGAGGATGAGCACCCTCATCGCACAGCGCCGACCCGCCACCCCCTCCATCCCTCGCTACTCACGGCCGGGGGCCTCCACCCGCACAGGCAAAGGCAGAGGCAGGGCAGGCAGGGAGCCGCGGCAGCCGGGCAGGCGGAGGGCCGAGCCGGCCGGCAGCTCCAGCATCGTCCGCCCGCAGAACCGAGCTCATTCCCTGCGCCCCGGCTCCCCTGGGCTTTCCCATCTCCCTTCCCGGGGGCTCAGAGCGCGGCCGCCCGCTCGCCGGTTCCACTTCCCGGTAAGAGGCAGGGTGTCCCCCGGCTGTCCCCGCTGCTGCTGCGGTACCTGGGCCTGCGGTCCTCCGCAGCGCTCTCCTCTTCACCTTCACCTGCCTCCTAGCAACCCCGCATCCCTGCGGCCCGGGACCGCGGCGAGCATCCTCTGGCCCCCCGGCTCCCGGCTGCCTCTTCCTTCCTTGGAAGGAGCCGAGCTGCTCCTGGGAGACGCGGCAGCCCGCCGCTGCCTGACAGCGAGAGCAGCCCGCCTGTCCCGGCGCTGGGAAGAATCACTCCGAAGTGGTATCAGGGGAGGAAGGTGCGGAGGGAAGCTCAGGGAAATGCCGGCGGCTGCAGCGGGGAGCAAACAGGAACGCCGCTCAGGGAAGCCGACGCTGGCAAGCTGCTGCCCGCCCCGGGGCGAATAACCTCACCCACATGCGAGCCAGCCCTGGTTCCCCCGGTACCCTCCTTTCCTAAGCGCTCGGCGATTTTTAGAGCAGTGAGCCGTGGTGATGGGGGGGCACAGGGGTAGAAGTGGGGCTCAGCTACACCAGGACTGGTCCTGCACCGGTGTGTGCAAGCAGAGAGGGGTGCAGACACCCTCACTATGATCACAGTGCTGAGGACAGGGTGGAAAGGGAGCCCCTGGAGACCCCACAGCCCAACCCTCTGCCCCAGCCAACGATCTCTCCCTCCTTCCTCAAAAAGGATGGCTGAGTCATTTGAAATCTCCAGCTGTGGTGGTCCCAGGACCTCCCTTTCCATCTCCACCGCATTATGCTCACTCTGGGAGGCTTCACCCAACTCTCCTTTCCTACTACAACCTAGGCTTGCTCCTCTCCATCCTTAGCCCACCTGCCAGTTTTCCACCTAGACCCTGAGAAGCACAGGCAACTCTCCCACCCCATCTCTAGCAAGCTATCCATCTATATACACATTCAGTTGTAGGAATTATCCCACCATAATCCATATTGCCATGAGGAAACTTGCAGCTCCTCATCATCAGCTGTGTAATGATGAAGGCTCCAGGAGCTCCATCACTGTAACATCAGGAGGTCACAGCATCATAGGTACCACTCATAGTCTGCTGTCCTGGTAGGGACAGCTAAAATGGACCATCTATGGTGAGGCCACAGGCAGTGAGACTTATTTCTCCTGCCATGCACTGCTACAGCCACAGGAGAGGTCTCCTAATGCTGGAACATGCTGCAGCATCATCCAAGTCTCTGCTGATCAAGACCTTAAAGGTGGTTTACTCCTCGCCCTTGTTTCTTTGAAGAGGGGGACCTCACAGGAATGGGTTTCTGCAGAGCCCAAAGGGAATGCAGTCATTGTGAGCTTATTCCCATTTTCCTCATGCCCACACACGCTGTCCTGCACAACAAATCACTCTTTCTCCTCCCAGGCATTCCCGCCCACCCAACGCATTGCTGCACCCTTCCAGCTTCCAGCCTCCAGCCGTGCCAGGCGAAACGAGCCCAGGTTGCTCAGCCCTCCCCTCTTGGAGGGAAGATTCCCTTTTCCCACTGCTTCTGGTGTCGAAGTATTTCCACAGCCCAGCAACCCACCTGGGGACGAATCCTGGTCTCAGTGGGGTGAACAGGATGAGGAGGGGGCTCCACTACTTGTCATGGAATCATAAAGTGGTTTGGGTTGGAAAGGACCTTAAGATCATCCAGTTCCAACTGGGACTGTGAGGGACACCTCACACTAAACCATGTCACCCAAGGTTCTGTCCAACCTGGCCTTGAACACCGCCAGGGATGGAGGATTCACAGCTTCCTTGGGCAACCCTTTCCAGTGCCTCACCACCCTAACAGTAAAGAACTTCTTCCTTATATCCAATCTAAACTTCCCCTGTTTAAGTTTTAACCCATTACCCCTTGTCCTATCACTACAGTCCCTAACGAATAAAGTTGCTACTGCCTTTCTCTGCAGCTGGGTTATCCCAGCCCATAGTGTTTCTCTTCCTAATGCCTCCCTCCAGGGAATGGTCTGTCTCCATCCTCCTTCCACCAGCCCAGCTTCAGCATCCCTCTGGGCTGCTCAGTCCTTGTCCCACTGTGGGACCCCGTTAGCACTTCAATGGACAGACCATGAGCCTTGGTCCATGCAGCATCTCACAGGTGATCCAAGAAAGACCACGGCTCCTCTCTGCCCCAAGACCAGGCAGCATGGCAGGCATGAATCCACACAGCTGAGATCACGGTTCCAGAGGGGCTGAGTCCATCCTGGCCAGGGGGATGGTCCCCACATGGGGCTAAGCTCCACATCGTGCCAGGGAGGTGTGAACATGGGTGTGGGCTGGATGTTCATGGCTCATCCAGAAGCTGGGCTCTGCATCCTCTGTCCCCTCCTAAACCCATTCCAGCTCCTGTCCCTGTCCTATGTGACCCCACCAGCCAAAGCAGCACAAGCTGATACACAGCACCAATCCTGCTGGAGCTCCAAGTCCTTGGAGGCTTTGATCCCTCCTGTGCCATTGCCTGGAAGCCCTTAAATTTTAAGCCACCGGGTCTAGAGGTGGCATGGGAGGGATGAGACAGAGCAGTAAGAAGGGGTGGGAGAACAGTGTTGTCCCACATCACCCCATACCATGGCCAGCTCTGATCCCAGTGTATCACCACTTTACCTCTCGTCTATTCTCTTCCCATGCTTCCTCCGCAGCCATCACAACAGATGTCACCCCGCAAGCAATGTGAACGCTCCCGCTCAGGGGTTCATCCACCCTGGCCCCGTTGCTTGTCCATGTGGCAGCTAAACGGGACAGATCGCTTGGCTCCAGCAATCCCATGGGCATGCTCCAACCAGGGTCTCCACTGTGATGCTCAGCCCAGAAACTGCCATCATCTCTGCAGCAGTGCTACATCCCATTGCATCAAATACCTCCCTGATTACTAAGCCCTTATTTAAGATTTTCAAGGATCCCCAGCAGGCTAATGGCCTTTAAACCACAGCGTGGTTTTGCTCTCTGAGCACAAAGAGCATCCAAAAACACCCTTCTCCGACGCTTTCTTTGCACAGCTCCAAGACTCGTAACGATGTCCAGAGCAGTGACTGGCTTCCAGAAAGGGAGCTGGACCACCAAAGCTGGGAGCTGGGCCGTGTTTGCTCCTTCCTCACCCCTATCCCCAGCTGGCTGGATACTATCTGGTGGCAGCACCTTGCAGAGTGACAACCAGGTGATTGTCATGCTGAGGCAGCAGCCCTATTGAGATGTCAGCGCGCTCGTGCTCCCTGCTGAACCTTGTTCTGCAGGTTCAAAGCCTGTTTATTGAAATGGTGCTGGGCTCAGTGCTCACTGTGCCAAGAATCACAGCTCTGAGTGTCCACAGCCCTGTGGGGTCAAGGCCAGAGGGTCTTGCATACCCTGGAGTATCCATGTGTTAGAGCCAGCATCCCAAAGGGAAACGCTCATGAGGAATAGTGTGGAGGGAGCGGCGCCCCTGCAGTGAGTGGCAAAGCCAGCCAGAAGCATCATTTAATAATCCCATGATTTAATGGCACCTTGAAACTAATCCTTCACCTGCTTGCTGCCAGCACAAACCTCAAAGTCCCATGCCATCACCTCAAGGCCCTGCCAGCCCCATCCTGCACACCCCAGCCATGCATGAAGGAAGCTCCCCCTTGCTGCACGCCGAGGGGTTTCCCTACCACACGTTTATTACCCAGCACCAAAACCCTGCTGCTGAGAAGCCATGGAACATCCTGGTGCCAACCTGATGTGGTCTCCATCCTTACCCAGCTCTTGGTGTGTCCCTTGGGTGTCCTTGCCTTTTGCCTGTTGCTCTCTGACACTCCAGCAGGTGGTTTGCGAAGCCTGGCTCCAGCTCAGCATCCTTCACCCCCAGCCTTCTGCCCGTGGGAAGTAACCAAGCAGGAGACCAGCAGGACCAAGACTTTGCCAAGCATTGATTTTGCCTCGTTTGTTTTCCAAGCCTTTGGACAAGGCCACCTGCTCCTTTCAACCTTCCTTCTTTCCAGCCCACAGGGAACAGTATTTTGCCACCAGCGTCACTCACAGCATGGCCCCAGCCCTGTCCCTTGCTGGCTCCAGGGGAGGTTCAGGGTTTTCCATCCATTCCACGTGGCTGCTGTTTTGTACACACCAATTTTCCATGGAGCTTTTGTCCACACCCTGCCTGGCAGTGCCTCCCTCTCCCCACTCCCTGCCAACCCCAAAAGGTTATTGTTGAAGGGGTGACCTGCAGCTGGAAGTGCTGCTTGGCCGGGTGACAGCCAGTGGTGGTGGTCCCCATCGGAGCTGCTCCCCAGAAGGAGATGAAACCCAGCAGGGTTTTTGGTGCCCCATGAAAACCCTACCACCCCATCCACTGTGCCTCGGCTGGTGGGCTGAAGCAGCTGGGGGTGACTGGGAGACAAGTGGGGGTAACTGGTGGGCAACTGGGAGTGATTGGGGGGGCAGCTGTAGGGCTACAGAAGAGAATCCAGGGGGCAACTGCTATCAGCTTGGAGTAACTGGGGGCAGCTGGGAGTGACTGGGGTGGCTATAGGGCTACAGAAAAGAATCCAGTGGGCAATTGGGATCAGCGAGGGGTGCCTGGGGGCAGCTAGAGGTGACTGGGGAGCAGATACAGGGTTATGGGAGAGGATCCAGCAGACTGCTGGGGTAATGGGCGGTAGCTGGGAGTGACTGGGGGCAGCTGGGGGCAGCGAGGTGAGACTGGGGTGCAACTCGACGTAACCGGTGAGCATCTGGAAGTGCTTGGTGGCACCTGTAGGGCTACAGCGGCCAACTGTGGTCAGCCGGGGGTAAGCGCGCAGCGGGCAGGGTGACTGGGGTCGGCACTAGGACCGCGCAGCGGGCAGCAGCGACCGCCCCTAGCCCTGCCCCTAGCCCCGCTCCTAGCCCCGCCCCTGGCCCGCAATTAAGCGCGCTCAGGGAGGTGGGGGCTGACGGCGCGGCGTGATGACGTCGTCCGGAGCGCGCCGCGGCGGGTCTCGGCTTCTCCGCCATGGCGAAGACCGTGGCCTATTTCTACGACCCGGACGTGGGCAACTTCCACTATGGTGCGGGCCGGGCCGGGCCAGAGGCAGCCGGGGCCGGGCGACGGAGGGGCCGCGCTGGGGCTGGGGCTGGGGCTGGGGCTGGGGGCTGGGGCTGGGGCTGGGGCTGGGGCTGGGGCTGGGGCTGGGTCTGGGTCTGGGTCTGTCTTGGCGCGGGGCGGGGCTGTGGCCTAGCCCGGCCTGGGGCCGGTCCCCTCACCCGGCACGGCCCCGGTGTGTGCGGAGCGGCCGCCGTCCCCCGGCGGTGACTCCCCGTGTGTTTCCCATTCAGGAGCCGGGCACCCCATGAAGCCGCACCGCCTGGCGCTCACCCACAGCCTGGTCCTGCACTACGGGCTCTACAAGAAGATGATCGTAAGCAGCGGGGCCGCTCCTGGGGCTGGGCGCGGCGACGGGGGGTGCGGCGGGCGGCTCTGGGCAGGCAGGCGCCACAGGTGGTGTCCGTGCTCCAGCACGCGTG